CAACATTGTCAGTGTTGACAGGTGTAAAAAATAAAAGTAGATTGTCTAGCGTGCCATAGAGTTTTGTCAATAGTAATGGTCAGTGAAATTAAAATTAAAAAGATTGTTCATTCTTATTCTTCTCTTTCTATAAAGGTAACTTTGGTCACAGAAAGAAAATCCTATTTGGGCATAGATGATGTAGGTACGTTTTATTACTACTACAAACATTTATATTATAAAAACATATATTCTTACCACCTTTAGTATGAAAATATGGTCGACAGCCACAGAACATTATCGCCATTTTATCGTTCGTAAGGAGTAAACTCCAATCGTGTGTCGTAGCTGACACACACACACTTTTTTTTAAACAAAATAAAAATAATAACATTAAATTGCTCTGTTTTCTAAAAAAATCACATGTTTCTATCAAATCCGTCACTTTACCGACTGATTCATTTAAAATTTAAAACACACAGAATTTTTATTTTAATGTAGCCGTAATATTTAGTCAATGAAGTACTATCCAAATATGATAAAAAGATAAGATAAATAAAAGATTTTGGATATTTTTTAAATCCGATATTGTTCTACGATCATGACGAAATGCTTATAGATATAACAAAGGCTTTTGACTTTGTATGTCATGAAATATTTTTTACAAAATTAGAATGTTACGGAATAAGAGGTAATGCTTATAACTAGGTGTAAATTTACCTTGAAAATACAATGCAATATGTGGCAATATTCGAAAAATTTGTACGGAACACCTTAAGGCATTTAGCTCCACTACTTTTTCTAACATACATTAATGACCTCCCAGATGCTATACACTAGAACTGCATAATATTTGCTGATGACATTAAACTTATAATAACGAACAAGATTTGAAAAATAACTTAAGTAAATCTCTAGATGACCAAAATTAACATAATTCATTTTCAGACATAACTCAAAAACAATAAAATTAGACATAATGAACGAGTGAGTATTTTTGGGTATAACATTGGATAAATTTTGTAATTGGAAAGCACAAATTGAAAAATTACAGAACAAAGTAGAAAACTATTAAGGGAAACTGTTAAACATGATTCTATACTTAGGTATGGAATTATAGTTTGGAGAAATTCAGTCGAAGTACATAGGGTTAAGGCGCAAAAAACTGTATTAGAGCAATTTGTGGAGCAAACTATCTTGATAGTTATTTATGAAACTCAGAATTATATCTCTTCCCTGTATGTTTATATTTTAAGACATCTGTCGAACTAGACATAGGGAAAAATTGGCTGTACCAAAAATTTGTCTGGAATTGTATAGGACCTTTTGTATGGCAATCAAGGTTTATATTAATTTACCAAAATCATTAAAAGATCTTCCTACGAAAGTTTTTAAAAATCTACTGCTTTTGGAAAAAATGTATTATTCTATTAATAACTATTTCCGTGTGAAACATTATAGTTAATATTAATTTGATAACGTAATAATTTATTTTAATAATTTGATATTTTATCACTACAATTGTATAACTCAAAATGTATGTAACTTCTATGTGAAATTAATTTTAAGACAAATTTGCATGCCATTATGTGTGGCAGAATATGCGAACTTTAGATTGTATACCATAACATTTTTGTACCATATTCTTGCAAATAAATTATTATTACGACAGACGACGAGATTGCGGATTTAACAGTAAGAGAAACGCGTGGTTAGCATCCAACCAAGGCTTGGATTTGCCTTCTAGTATCAACTTTCAAAGGACCTAGGATGATCCTCTTTGCAAATCTGAATTCCAAAACTTATTAGGTCACACTTCAATGACTGACTGCGCAAGGTTAGTGGCTGTGGGGTCTAGGGAAGCTAGTCATTGGCTAAATGTTTATCCTTCGCCAAACACTGGGTGCCAGTGTTTTGAACCCTAAATTACTTCGCATTGCCATCGGCCACCGCTTAGGAGTGCCCATATGTACTCCTCATAAGTGTCCCTGTGACTTTGCAGTAAGTGGCCATGGACACCATGGCCTCCATGGCCAAAAGAGTGCAGGTGTTTTTGTCGCCACGCCGCGCTCAACGACAAAATACGCCGCTCTCTTGCCTCCATCAATGTTCCATTTTGGAGCCAACAGGCATTGCTAGAGACGATGGCAAGCGGCTGGATGGGATGTCGTTGATCTCTTGGAGGATGGGAGTATCGCAATACAGCGAGGAAATGCTGCCAGCGTTAAAGGTACACTGCCACAGGGAGCAAACTTTTTAAAATTTGTTTTAATTTTCTTTTTATGAATTTTTAATTATTTTGATTATTACAATGTATGTTTAGCAATAAAATATATTTGTTGCATAATTTGAATTCTAGAAAGAGTAGAAAAAAGGAACTTCGACGGAAAAAGATGTATTTACAAGCAAATGAAAGCAATGATAACTTTTAAAACAGATAATATAAATATGTTATTGATTTCATTATATCTAAAAAACAAAATATTCACTAAGATGTTTCTATCATATACAGCCTTTATTTTCATTCAAATCATAAAATGGATCGCGCTCAACTAACAGGAACGTCCATCAAAAAGAAAAGACCATTGAATAACCATAACAGTCTACCTGTAGTATATGCTGGCAACACTGAACATCTAGCAAATAACCTAAGAACTCTTATTAATAAGGGAACTTGTAGCAAACAAGCTTCCCCAAGGGTAGACACAATGCAAAAAGAGGTAGATAGCAGAATTTCTAATACATGGAAAAGGTTTTGGTCTCTTGGTGAGGTAATGAGAGATGTTAGATGCCCATAAAATAAACCATGCCTAACACTTGGTTACCAAACATAGGTTTTAACCGAATCCTTACAAAATAAAACAAGTGTGTGCCAAAATAACTTAGAACGAAGCATTGTGGGAGAGAGGAGAATTTAGGTTAAGAACAATAAAAAGTAAAACTCAATTTAAGGATCCATCAACAACATGTAAAAACTGAAATGGCAATGGTTAAACACATAGTAAGAGAAAAAAGGGTAACAGAGTGGTACCCTGGAGATGGAAAGAGAATCAAGGGAAGGTGAGGCGTTGGAAGGACGACATAAGAAGGGTAGCCGTAATAAGGCGACATTTGGAGAAGGGCTTTGTCGAGAGACAAGCTGATTAGTGGTATAGTTATTTTTTCATTTCATTCATAAAGGTTTATTTTATTTTATTTAGAATAATTAAACAAAAATTCAAATGTATACGAAAGATAAAAGCTTCCTCAGAGCAATAACTGCTATTAAAACAAAATACAACACTGAACCGTTGTAAGTATTAATGTGAAGTGAACGCGTCGGAACGAATTAGTTAATTGAGTCTGTGTTCAAACACTTGTGTTTTGAATAGAGGATTGAGACGAGGGCACAATGACCGATTCCGATGTGGCCGGGGGTCAAACCCCAAACCTCGGCTAATAGGGGTCGCATTGACCAAACTCTATTATTCGTCCGGATTGGAGACTTTAGACTAAAATAATCACTCGTTAATGGTTTGTGAGGAACACTTGTGGACTGCGAATGGGGCGCTGATCGCTCATCTACGTAGTGACATAAACTAATTTCTTTATATAAAAATGTTTACAATTTCTAAAGCTACCCAATTTTTTGCTTAAAATTCTCGTAACCTAAAAACGTAACTATTTACCGTCATCCGTTTCTCATGTAAAAAATGTGATTATAATAAAAAGTTCATTGTTTGCGTAAAAAGATAATAAATGAATGCGCAGGAGTGCAGCATGCGAAGTGCAGTGGAAGCTGTCTGAGGAAGTGATGGCGCCACTGTTTTTCTCAACAACACATCAATTAAACCGTTGTCGAAGCTATTACGCAACGAGATGTTTCTTAGAATATTTAACTAGCCACTCGGTGCTGGTTACTGCTGTTTTATCATTTTATGTGATTAGATTACCTTGTACGAAAATTGTCCGCATTAACAACTTATAAAACAAAAGAAATAAAAGTTAACAAACGCGAACCAAAAATAATACAAACTCATGCAAAAATAATATCTTATCAATAACAGAAATAACGACATTTCCGTAATAAAACCGTTTTGTTTAAGAGGTGGTTTTGCGAGAACACCTATCGAGTTTTTGTATGACTCGACACTTAGCGGCGGAGGTCGATGACCTCTATAATTAGATTGAAGAATGTTCTCGAATAGGCGACAAATTGGTTCGTTGTTAGATGAGGAGATAGGCGATAAGGTGCGGTCGATGGAACTAATTGAAACGTATCGCCTACACCTAGCCCTCGGGCTCCTCTTGTGCCCCCACAGAAGATATATAGAGCAAGAAATTATAACGATTTAAAATATTACAATTATTATTTTATTCTACTACTCTGGATTAGTAGTTTTAAATGGGCCACAATTTGCGAATCGTCGCGATGAAGGCCGACACTCTATGTTTGTTTATTCATATTATGTTTCGACCAAACTACGTTGTTTTCATTTGAGTTTATGCATTACGAACACATACAAAAATATTAATAATATTAGTGTTTACATCAGTTCATTCATTGCCTTAATAAATTTCCATCGTTTTGTTTGTACACTAAAGAGCGTTCCGACGTTAACACGCGCGTTGACCTGCGATACCAATTATTATGTCACCCGGGTGGTCACTTCCCCCCCCCAGACCCCGCTCTTCCCCCCTCGGCCGTCAGGTGGTCACTAATGGGACAGATAACTGCCCGTGGTTAAGAGATACCGTCGGCGGGTGGCATTCATTAGTTAAATCAATTGTCTAACAATTTATCTAAATATATCAAAACGCTCGGATGCCAAAGATACGCGTTGTATGTAAGCAGCGGAGTTGTATATCCTCATTTGAATGTTTGTAGAACTTGTATTGAGTAAAGCTTCTGCCTGGCTCGTGGTGACCTGGGACCGCGTCTGGATATTAATCCAAATATTATAACATTGTAAAGGGAAACCTACAAAAAAGCAAATATGAATTGACCCCACCGTGACGGGGTGAGGTCTACCGGCCTCTTCATGGCTCGAGAACCAATAGAGTGGCCGACTTGCGCCAGCGCCGATTGCATTTACCGAAGCGAAGCAAAATGGTCGCGAAAGTTTCACATTTCGGTTGCATTGTGTGCAGCCACCAATGCGCAGGTTTTGCGGGACGACGAGGTCCGCCGATTGGCCCCGAGCAGGCCGGAGGAGGTCTCCGATTGGCTGAAAGCGATTAAATTGGCACTCAATTTGTCCGCGATAGACATCTTAGATCAATTATGTCGCGGCTAATTGCGGCGGACAATAGAGACAACGGTGGGCCGAGCACGATATAATGATACTGTAAGCGGAGAGCTGTTCATTGACTGGCAGTGGCGATATATCAATTATGTTGTTACCATTAATAATTATCGATCAATAATTGATTTTTAAAAATTAATACCCATAGGGTGTAATCTAGCGAAAGAATCTCATTATTAATGAGCGCAGAGAACAGAGATGTATATTTAATCCCCGGAGCACCGTATCGGAAGCGTGACGGGAGGATTACGACAGCGTGACGACATAAGCGAGTGTATTCCTTCAAATTGAGCTATTGTTGAAGTCTTTACGGCCTCTTTTCGTTACATTTCTGGCTTCTCAGATTGATATACACAAGTGTAGTAGGTATATTTAAAAAAAGTGTCTATAAACTAATGACAGTTGAGTTCAATGCTTAATGCCAGTGTTATCGGGATCATCCCGTCTGTCCCGCGGTCGACTGACTGAATGCGATATCGGTTGACGGTAAGTGCACTGTCACCACTGCATTTTAATTTTGTACCTAATTGCAATTCAGCGTTGGTACTTATTAAGGGCGGCGCATGTAAACACAAGGTTTGGGCAAAGTCGTGCGCAGGCAGCGTATAATGATGCGCGTGTCGCGTGACGTCACGAGGACGAGAGCTCATTAGTGCGACACCGTCGCCTGTCGCTGGACTTAGACTTTCTGTCACATTAGGAAAATTTAAACGGCTAAAAGTCTATTGTTTAAAATGCATAACTAAATGATCGTATTAATTACATGACATATTTATTTATGGAAATGCCAATGAGGCAAATACGTTTCTATACGTTGCTTTGAAGCTTATCCAGAATAGCGGTACTTACATTGACCTCTCTCCGTCCAGTGTCCACATGTTAACCTGACACTGCACTGGAGTATAGGTACTGAGCTAATTAGTCGAGTATTTGCGGAGGAATTTAAAGTTACACTGTCCTATAATATTATGTAAACATATGAAAATAGATACGAATAGAATTAGTCCACAATTTTACTTAAAGTTCCATTATTATTGTTTCCAATTAAAATAGAATTCCGCTTAATATTGTCAATAGATTTCAACAGATAACGGTACGTTTTTTATTGATATGTAAATTTACGCATAGATAGTTAGATTAGATACCTATATGATTCTAAAAAAAACGAACGTATGTTGCCTAACACGTTGCTCTGTTTAATTCCATAATGTTTACGAACAATTAACGAAGTTGCTCAGACCGAGGCCTTCTTGCCTCTAGGCATTCAACCAACAGAGGGTTGCGTGACGTGGCGTGACGTGACTATTTGCCGGTGAAAGTGCAGGAGTTTTTCCGTTTCATATAATTATTGTTCCCCGAGGTGCGCCCGCGGCTCTAAGCTTCACTGATGGTTTTTGGCAAAAAAACCGTTTGCTAGCAGGGTAAAGCTACCATGTCAGTATCGCTGAGGTATAAAAAGTAGATCCGACTGTATATTATGTACGATATCTGTATACACATCGTGAGAAGCGCATTTTCCCGAACGATATAAAGTAATTTATCTCGCTAAGCCATCATCAATTAACTAATTCAGATCCTTATCGGCTTTATCTATTTGCAAACAAACGTCAAACGTCCCAAGCGACATGATTTCCTCGCGTGACGCTACTTACTATGATCATGTCAAAACTTGAGATTAAATCTAGGTATAATACATAATTTACTACTATTTAACATTGGTTCGAACGGTGAAGGAAAACATCGTGACTCGTGAGGAACCCGACATGTCTTAGACCCAAAAAGTCGACGGCGTGTGTCAGGCACTGGAGGCTGAACACCTACTTGCCTATTAGATTGACAAATGATCATGAAAGAGATTCAGAAATCTGAGGCCAAGACCTAAAGAGGTTGTAGCGCCACTGATTTTGTTTTTTACTACTGTTAAAAATATACAGATATTTGGTACGTTCTAATTATCTTATTGGCTCACTTCAAATACGTGGCCTACACCGAGAGGTATGTTTGGTAGACACAGAACTTGTTTGTCATAAACTCAAAGAAATCAGACGCAACAGTGAGTCTGCATTATGCCGAATACTCTAAGTAAATGTTGTTTTGAGAAGTGTCTGGGTTTTTGAAGTGAAACTTCTTTAGGCGCATTAGGGTGAAATTTTTACGGAACGTCACGAAGATGTGCAGCGTTTTTGTCGAAGAAAAGGGAGAAAAAACAATTAAAGTTTCGTAAAGAGGATTTATGAAATATGAGTATTTTATGCAAAATAATTTATTGAAATCTCAAATGACGAATTGTAAAATAAAATGCCACGTGTTTTTATTATTACCTTAATATCTTCCTTTTTCCCTCCCTCTATGTCTCGGAAATCTCAAGTTTTACTGCGTTGCCACCCTTTTAAGAATTGGTACGCTCTTTTCTTGAAATAGTCGAATTGAGAAAATGATAACAACTTTCGAGCAATACATTATAAAACGTTTGTCGGGCATTTTTCCGATTCGCATAGATCTGTTGGATCCTTATCCCAGAATCAATGTAATAAATGTCCCGGTTTAGTATGCAGATGGAGGAGGCTCGAGGTGAGTGCATTACAATATTCGTGTCTCGTTAGAGCACGCATGGCCCCGCGCCCTATCTGACCCACAAATATGCCCCACGGCTAATTGGCTCCTGCCATACTCCTCGGAGATAAACTACTGCAACGTACAAAAACAATTATGCCAACGCACGGCGCCGTTTAGTGAAGTTTCAAAGTTATGTGGTGATGCGTCAATTGCGAAGTATGAGAGGAACAAAAATATATTTTATTCATATTAAACAAGTATGAAGTATAAACCATCATAACACAACAGCCAGTCCAGAAAGAAGACGACAACTCGAAAACATTATTCAGCTTAATTATTTAAACTGCTCGGACATGGAAAGTACCCTTTGTTTCCTCCGATGTTAAACATATACATAGTTCCACTAGTAACTTGTCATATACCAGGATAATGACTAGCCGCCCCACTGCCAAGACTCGTTGCAATGAAAATATCTGCACTTTAACTATACCCTATTGTTTAACGACAACATTTTCAGGCGTATGTCCCACAACTATTCATGATTTCGATCAAGGCCAGCACCGTTAAAACACATCGGCATTTATTTTAATGTAAATTAGTCGAGCGTTATCGATACATAACGATTTAAATGTGGCAGCAGCCAGCTGAGCACGTACACGAAGAGCAGAGAGAGTTCTCCTTGTTTGGTGCGCCAATTACACCAACACACTTTACGACTGCAGTAAATCCAGCGCTAATGTACCCCAGCGTCTACTCTTACCGAGGAAAATTAGACGATTATCCTCTAACCTAGCACAGACATACATAACATATATACAACCATTTAAGCCTCGGCCTCAGATGTCTGAATTGTTCCATTGATTGCCGTAGTCAAGTATTAGTCGAGTCAAAAATAATGAATTATTTGTGAACATCCACTGGGCTAGGCTAACACTAATCTATTTAGTGTATAATAATTTAACAGGAATGAATATTTATTAAACTGGTTGAAATTCCGCGAGTTCAGTTTTTATCGATTTTGTCCATAACAAACTGTTACGCTAGGCAGCATGATGCAAACAATTTTGCAATATTAATTGCTAGAATCTGTAGGAAATGATATTAATAACTATGTAGACTACTTACAAAACTCACTCGCTCTGAATAATATTATACTTTACAGCTTTTAGTTGATATGATCTAAAGAGCGGTCGCGTTGCGTTGTGTGCATTAGCTTTCTAGTCGTTTCGAGTGTTCCCGCTACAAACACATTCACCGTGTCATTACATAGGTACATGCAAAACACATAATAGCTCTTTGAGTTCTCTACTCAAATAAAAATTACTTTCATATAATATAGACTTACACTCGGCATTTTAAGTCGGTTTACATTTAAATAATTACAATCAGTTATTATCCATTACCAGATATAATTTGCAGTAACAAAATTAAACCCTACTACAGATAAGCAAAGCCGCGTGACGATTCACTGCTCAACCTGCTCGATGTTTTTGCTCTCATGTTTGTTTTTGTCTTCCGCCTGTCTTGCGCAGACACGCCAATCAACCTGACAGATACAGTCGTATTAATATTTCTGTCTGGATACACCTTTAAGAAGCGCTCAATTTCATTAATTTTATTCGTCATTAACATATGCCGCTTGTAATATTCATACCGAGATCGCAAAACGATAGAAATACAAACGGGCTGATTGATTTGCAAATAAGGCACTCGAATTAGTTTTTTCTTTCTATATTAATATATATAAAAATAGAAAATCCGACTAAATAGTATTAAATTTTCAAAACGATACTGATACTGGTTAGTAACTCGGTGTTCAATCTATCAGACAGCTATTAGATAAGCTGCAATTTTTGCTTTTCATCTTATTTCGCCTAAAATTAAGATCAAACATCTCGATTGCAGAATTTTTCTGAATCAAATACTTAAACATAATTTTGAGTAGTTTTCATTTGTTGTGTTTGTTGTTTCAGAATGTTAATAATTAAACAGGGTATTTAATATATTAATCAGTTTTTTGACCTCACGTTTCCTTTTGTCATCACGCTAAAGCGCTAATCCTCACGTTGTCCTCGTCGCGTTACGTCTCATGTTTCGTATTAGCTACGTATATAGTATAGTTGATATATAGTAAGTCATCCTTCTATATATCTCCTTTAGGTAGTCGGCATTGTGAGAAAAGTTGACATCCATCACACAAGAAAGCGGATTAAACGAAACAAACAAAGCAATCACTCAGAGCAAATATAATAGAAGAAAAGAAACGTTTACGAGACATAAACGAACGCATACAGAGTAGAACATATAAACCCAGAATTGGAATGATGAGGTTTTAATTAATACAAAAATAGCAGATTGTAATCTGTGAGTCACGATCGGAATGTGTCCGCGCTGATTAATTTATTTGTGGCCAAATCGAGGAACCCCCCACGGGC